AGTAGGCTTCATTTTTAATTACCTCCGCCAAGGAGGTTATGTTTTCACCCCTGTTTGTCTGTTTGTTTGTTTGTCATCAACATAACTCAAACAGTTATGAACCGATTTTGATCAAATTTTCAGGAACTGTCAGAAGTGGGTCAAAAAGGAGATGATTAGTTTTTGGTGGGGATCCGGATCAATAATCAATCATTAATCAATAATAATAATAAATCGCTGCCTTGGCGGAGGTCTGCGCTCTCGGAGTGCTTTTCTAGTTTCTTAATAGGTCTGTTTAAGATATTAATTATGACCTTCATTTCTCTGTAAACCAAAACTTTAAATCCATATGCTCTTTAACGCTGTCTTTGTAAACTACCTGTAAGTCAAAAGAGGACAAGTATTTGAGCTATTGATTGCAAAGAAAAAATCAAACTACTGCATTAAAACTGGTGATTAATAACCGCAGAGATATTGATTTGAAGTTAAACCGACGACCGATTTCCTTGAAACATGCTACTCATGAGGAGATAATGGCTCTTAAATCGACTTTCCCATTTTTCAGATGCAGTACATGTGGGGAATTCAAGTTAATTTAGGTAATTGTAGGTAGTCTAGCTGCGAAAAAGGTGCGTCGATCCAAAGTTTCCATTAGGATTGGATTTCCACGCCAAATAGACCCACTGGGAATGTTTTTGGTTTGTTTCATAGGTAGTGTTCACAAATCAATAAGTCAACCTTTTTATAAGCTTGAAAAGATCGAAGACGTCGTGGTTTAGACTACTCTGATCCAGGCGAGAACAGAATGGTTTCAATGTAGTGAAACAGCGAGGGCTTTAAAGAGATACTGTAACGGGTTATAAGGTGCTTTTTTAAAGTATTCACACACTGTATGTTAAGTCTACATTAAAAGATTTTTCAATTCGTGCTTTTGGAGATTTCGCCGAAACTTCGCCCAACTTTAAATAAATGAAAAAATAGACGTTCTAAATAATTTTAATATATATATATATATATATATATATATATATATATATATTATAATTATTATTATTATTATTACCTGTTGTCAAAACATACGGTTTAATCAACATCTGCTGGAAAAGTAATTTATTTGGGTAACAAAAACAAGATATACAAAAGTTCTCGTAACCGTATAAGGGCAGTTTCAATAACACATTTCATCTACTGTTACATTTTAACAGTATATTAATAATCTTCACGACGTTACGACGTTAAGAGAAACAAAACTTAGCACATCAATAACCAAAATCAAAAAATACTTCTTTTACCCTGATGGGGAATATATGATTATTTCATTTCGACCTTTTTACTGTTCCTTCTATAACATGGTGGTTTTAATTAAATGTAAATGCTTTGAAATGCAGGTCTTTTAAAGCCACATTCTTTTTGATACAAACAGTTGTAGAGACTTAATACTGCATTGTTACTCCGGTATCAGCACAATAATATGACAAATTTTACTTTATTTCAGCTGTAAAGTCTTAACACCCATATGACATCTGCAATCAATACATCCCCCACATTGAAGTAAGGCTACTGACCTAAACAAGATCGAGTCAGGGACACAGAAATCGGACTTCGTAGTCTTTGCACAATTGCCTATTTGGTTGATCTCTGTTCAAGCAAACCAGCCCGCCAGAGGGCGTGCACTTGGCTCTGATCTTCTGGCCCGCCGTATACCACCACTGCTTGGTTGCTTTGACGCGACATTGGATATCAATTGGTTCACGACCGGAGCACTAAAATAAAATCAGCAATATTCGTCACAGCGGATTAAAAAAGGGTATCATAATATGTCGCAGTGGGCTAGATAAGAAAAAACCAGCGTCGGTATTGCCTCCATTCACTTACCAAAGAGACGACCAAGACTGGATTCATAGTAGAGTAAAACGCTTTAGCAATATATTTAACCGAAATTAAATAAGTGCTTAGCCTCGGCAAATATGCACCTTAACTGTCTTGAAGTTAACTGGTTGACGAATATGTGACCAAAATTTAATGCAAAAAAGGGGCGATGTAATATACTACAGTAGTAAATATACATACACTAATTATTTAAAATTAAGTCTCGGTACATGCATATGGTACCAGTACGTACCGGGTTATGTCCTCGTTTCCCCACGTATTCAAAGTCTCCACTACCGCTGGGGTTGTCTCTGTCCCTCCAGGACGTCCACTTGGCGCACCGGCTACAGTTACTGTTACCTGCAGCTGTAAGGCATTTTGATATATATGCACGGCTTCGAGAAATATGAACATATGCAAGGCAAATTTAACATTTTCCATTCCTAAATATCTAAAAGATGTTACAAATAAGTGCCAGATATCACAAATATGTTTCGCCATATTGACTAATACAATGTATGCACGTACAGTACTTGCATATTGGTGACATTTTTACGTAGTTTTCCATTCCTGATACGTTTCACACGCAAAATATTGGCTTTAATGCCTTTGGTCCCATTATATAAGGTGAGGCACATTCTCTCGTGTCTGCATGTACATTGTCAAATGAACATACACGGTTCCTTGATAGAATTGCATATTTTTTTAAATAATTTGCTCGTACAGAGACATACCGTACACGGACATACTGCTGACTGCCTGTGGAAACAACAGATGCCAAGTTGGCCTATCAATGTTTAATGTCCGATTCCCTGAATCTGCCCAACCACCACTCACCTATCGTAGGGCACTTGAACCTGACCTCGTAGTCCTTGCAGATCTTCTTGTTGACCGATGTGGTGCAGACCAACCCATTCTCCCAGTTGCAGTCGTGGTAAGCGTTGTACCTGTCACCTGTTTTATAATAAGGGTAGTGGGAGCCTTTAGCACGACATTGGGAGCACATTGTGCGACGACCACCGCAAAGGTTATTTTTGGTATACCTCTGGAAAAATAAAGTCGCTAAAAATGTGAACAAACCGTATGTTAGTCAAAGATGGACTTGCCTATCTTTGAATGACATCAAATATTCAATACTCCCATGGTCTTATTTCCCTTCTCTTATGTTTTTTAAATGATCCTCAATATAAAAGTAGCCTTCAATTATAATTGTTATCTTTGTTTTAAAACCTTGCATCAATTTTAATAACACATACACGCTGTACCTTAAAGATGCATACAAAGTCATTTTTGTCACAAAAACCGACCAAATGCTGCATATAGTTTGAAGTAGTATAACTAAGAATTACCAAAAGGCATTGTTAATTTTACCCGAAAATGATGTGTGAACGAATTTACCTGCTAGCCTTCTATGCTATATGTGAATGGGGCAGAAAAGTGGGTCAAGAAAGTAGGTTAAATTTCCGACCAAAAATTTCAAAGAAAGGAACAGTCTAAAGCTCTTTTATGGCTGATCGAGTGATCTATTCAATTTATCCCTAGGTATGTCTAATTTATTTGAGTCTTATAAGAAACTAGTAGAAGTGATTTACATGTGTTACTGGGAATCCACGCTCAACTGATGCTCGTTTCGTATGTACCTTTAACGCAACCGCTATATTCATTTAAAGCTATACAATAAATAATTTAAGGAAAGACCAACGGTATGAATATTACGTAATAACCACATGGGGACGCTTACCCGAAAGGCGCGTGTGCTCTCCCAATCACCCGTACCACTAGGGTCATCTCTGTCCAGGAAGGATGTCCAAGACCCACCTGTAAACAAATGGAGCGACCATTAAAATGCATATATTGACAAACAAAGGGAGATAAAATTAAATTCGACGGATAAATTGTGCTGTTTCGCTTCGGAAAAGAAAAGATAAGCTCACCAGTAAATTACCGGATCTTTGAAAGAAAACGTTCAAATTAAAGGTACATATTTACCGTTTCTTTCGACTGTACATTTGATTCACTGCCCCGAACCAATCATGAGACAGCGCAAGCTCACCCAGTGAAACGTGCACAACTAACACAATGTATATAAAGGCGTTGGCACTTTTGTTACAAAAAAAGCTTTAAATTGATATAAAGTTTTAGAACATTTTGACAGATATAAGTTGGTAGTAGTCTATTTAATGAAACAATTTAACCAGATTTCTGACCCAAATAGCTGTGAGGAGTACTTACTTGTAGTAGGGCACAAGTATCTTATCTCATAGTCTTTGCAGGATCCTCCGCTCTGCTGGGAGTTAACGCACGCCAGTCCTTTGGTGGGTGAACAGTGAATCGCTAACTTATTGGGAGCCGTGCCAGACCAGCGTGTAAACACATTAGTTGTCCCCTTCACGCGACACTGTGCTGCTATAGGTTTACATCCGCCACACACGTAGCCTCGTTTCTAAGAAAAATGATTTCAAACTTTTTTGTTAACCACTCATTTTCATAAAGATATTTTTGTGCTTACAGCCCTTGTACAGTATCTATATTATCTTATGTTCGTATTATGTACCCTTATCACATTCCGACTCTTCAAATCTCAGTGCAATTATTTCTTACCTTCTGTGCATGCAAGTTTTCATAATCTCCAAGGCCTGAAGGGTTATCCCGGTCGTACCAAGGGCTCCAAAAATGACCTGGAAGTGATGTCAAACACGAGTTGAAATGTGTCTTGTAGTCTTTATTTCAAAGGAAAATCAAGAGTACAATCATCGAGTTTTTGAAAAATGGAGACAAGTGGAATCACTGGTGTCAACATCAGCAAGCCTTTTTCGATTTTAGTCATCCTCTCTTTCTGCGCCAGATCATTTTCAAATATTTACTGTGCAATGTAACTTTGCAAATATACACTGGGAGAAAAAATACTGGATATTTTTATAACTTAAACACTTGAATATCAGGAAAGAGCTGTTTATCTTACCCTGTACTGATGACAGTGCCAGTGCACAAGACAGAACGAGCAATACTAACTTCATGCTGAACCTAGTGTAAAATGAAAAAAAATTCAATCATCATTTTTCAGTGTGGGCTATCTAATATGTAAAAAAAAAATGCCTATAAAGATATTAATAAAAACACCAATATATGACGCCTAATAGAAAATAAATACAACAAAGTGGATTTAAAGAGACTACTTTTTCCTACCAATGAGGCATGGCGTTCTGACCCTTATTGAAGCCAGACAGTGTTTGGTATACTTATAAATGACATCTTACTGATATCAGTACAAGCAAATTCACATACAGAGCTATAATCTCACAATATTGCGATTATATATTACTTTAAATCGAATTCCTGTTCCATTCCCATTACACAAGGCAATGAACGAACTTATTTTACCAGAGTGAACAATCAACGTAACATGTGAGGGATATAGTGCTTGGGCTTTTCGGGCCATCATGTACCATGGCCAGTCTAACGTTCCTTCTCATAACCGCATGGTAAAAATTTAGGGCACAAAAATGGCAATTTTCTAAGATAAGTAAACGTATCAACATAATTATTAGGGACTAAAAAAAAAAAAATATATATATATATATATATATATATATATATTCAGCATTGTCTTAGTGAGGAAAAGTCCCATTTACCTTGCTGGTAGGGCGTGTCTTCTCTCTCTCAGCGGCACGTGCTCTTCACACTCCGATTTGGTCCGGCTTCCGTCCAGCTGCCCAAGGCGATTGAAGATCCACGCAGAGAGATCAGCTTTTATACTGTGACACGTTCGCTCTCGATGGTTCCACGTCATTACTTGTAACAGTACTTACTTGGGAACTCCCATTTGTTAAAAAGGGAGTAGGTGTTTTTTATTTAGTGTGTGTGTGTGTGTGTGTGCACGCGTGTGTGTGTGTTTGAGGGTATCAAAACATCTGATGCCCCATGATAGAACTATTATATAACTTCAAAAGTTCTGTTAAAAGTTTTTTGTTTTTTATTCCTGTAGGAACTGTCTTAAAATACCCACATACAGAGTCGACAATACTGCCTCCAAGTAATAGATAGACCACGGGTCAGCGAAAGTTTTTTGGCATACACGAGTGCTTAGCGCGAGTGGATGTCACATAACCCTCGCTGGCTTGGTGTCTACGTAATAGATAGACCCCGAGTCAGCGAGGGTTATGTGGCATACACGAGTGCGTAGCACGAGTGGATGTCACATAAGCCTCGCTGACGAGGGATCTATCTTATTTAGACCACGAGTCCATCAGAGGGTTATAACGCATTCATGCGAGACGTGCGGTTACGCGAGTTACACCACGTCTGAGACTTTTGTTCTTCACTTCCACCGTGGTCTAACTATTACGTACATCCTTGAAATAAAAACAGTACAGACGTAATTAAGACAAAAAAGACAGAAAGTGATGGGTACTCATTTTTTTCACTGTCTTTTTTTTTCCTCCAAATACTGCAAAGTTTAATTGTGAACACCTTGTCCCGATTTATGCCTAAACCGCAAACTATGGATAGATAGAATTAGAAAATATTAGAAGAAAACTTTTATAAACAATAACAACACTTTACTGATTAAATTCTACAATATATTGCAGCATAAATTTGGTGTTATTTTAGAAATGAAAGCAATGGTAATTTGAAACCAGTCTCTACCGGTACATGGTTAAATGTCAAATGCAATGAAACTTATGCTTTGCTAGTCAATTTTTCAACACGACATGACAATGGCCTTTCCCCATGTTAATATTTCAGATATTTTTTCACAGCAAAAAAATCACACAAAAAAAAAAAAAACAACAACAACAAACAAACAAACAAATGAGCAGATCAATATGCTTACAAAGATTACAAAACTATTTGAATAGGGCCTTTATGGTTATCATGAAAGTCGGGTGTCATAATCTAGGTCCCACCCGCACCCTTACATTGCCATAAAATAGATGCTATACATCAGGCTTAAATCTTATTAAAATGGACTGGGGTGATATCAAATGAACTGACATGTACGTCGATGTCAAGAGAATACTTGACAGGCCTGATTTCTAAATAAGCATTATATATGGATTATTTGATGGGGATTATTTGATGGGTTTGAAGGGTCCGCGGTAGCGAAGCCGCCGCCCCCCCCCCCCCCCTTGGCGTGGGGCCCGGGGCCCGCCGAAGGAACCAGAATATTTTGGTATTTTAGAGGGCATTTGGTACGGTTTATAACTAAGATTCAGCTAGGCAAAATCAAAATTCTGATTTCAAGAGGGTGGCTTTGGTGTGATTTTTCCAGAAATCGAAGGTGGTCAGGACCCCTGACACCCAACTAATTCCGCAACTGTTTACCGTGCCATTTAACCGGGTTCTGACAGGCTATTCGTCCAAGGGGAGGGGCTACTCCCTTTCACAGGTCCCAAGGCACCCAAAAGTCCGCCCGGAAGGTTCCTAGTTAGATGACTTCAGATAAATGTACCTTCATTTTGTTTTACACTGAAATTACTGAGAGATTACTGAGATTTTGATTTCACCTGTGACGTTATAGAGCACGATGAGAGCCAAAGCGGTTCATACTTTAATAGCGGTTTAAGTTTTGAATAATCTATGCCATTTGAAAAGTCGACTGTTGCCCCAGGCACTGTATGATCATATGAATAGTCTTTATAAGCAGGGGCCCAAGAAGGGTGGGCATGAAAAAGACTAAGGCACCTATTCCAGAATCTCCCTTTAGCGTTAAGGTATAGATAAAGTACGAGGCGCTAAGCTTTACGAGAAATAGAGCAGATAATATTGGCGAGGAGAAATTTCTCGTAAAGCTCAGCGCCGAGTGCTTTATCTGGCTTAAAGCACGAGTAATTAACCCTGTGCACTGGTGGGTGAAACGCATTCGTGGATGACATGACTTTAGACGAAGTAAAGCACGGCGTGACCTATTGTCTTTTGACAGGAGAGTGCTTTAAGGGAGACTTAAAGTCGACCTTATACGAAATTTATATTCCAAGACCTTTCTTTATCTCACTTGAAAGGAATCACTTAACAATCATCCTTGGCAAAGGAATCGGTCATTTCTAGAATCTGCCTTTGCTTAAAGATTTCCTGTATTTTCGGCTGAGGATTCCTTAAAATGTAAGTTTGGTCTGGAGTAACTTTTAGTCTTCCTTAAGCAGCCATCGTGTACAGTTCTCTTGTGAAAATCAGCTCCACGGAGGACTATGTAAACCAACATGCCTACCTATTTCAAAATAATTAAATTCAACTAGAAAAGCATTCCGAGAGCGGAGGCCTCTGCGAAGGCAGCAAAGTCTACACCCAATTTTCATTCTATAATGATTTAGTTTTTTGATTTTTGATTATTGATTGATCATTGATCCGGATCACCACCAATGTTTGGAAACATAAAAGTGTCTGATATAATAAGACAAATTCTCCCCCTTTCACAAGAAAGCACCAACGCATAGGAATAATTTGACAGACTTTCAAAGATGTTACCCAGTATCGTAAACGTGCATAATTTATTAATGCTTGGTGTCAAATCATGCGATCTAACCAACACCTGCTGGAAAGGCATTTATTTTGGTAACAAAAACAAGGTATACAAAAGTTCTCAGAACCGTATAAGGGCAGTTTCAACAACAATTTCCATCTACTGCTGCATTTTAACAGTATATTAATAAACTTCATGACGTTTAGAGAAACAAAACCTAGCACATCACTATGCCATAATAAAAAATACTACTTTTACCTTGATGAGTAATATACGATTGTTTCATTTCGACCTTTTTACTGTTCCTTGTATAACATGGTGGTTTTAATTAAATTTAAATGCTTTGAAATGCAGGTCTCTAAAAGCAATAATTATAGATACAAACAGTTGCATTGTTACCCCGGTACTTTGCTGTAGAATCAGAACAATAATGACAAATATATATTAATTTTTTTTAGCTGTAAAGTCTTAACACTCATGTTACATTTGCAATCATACATCATCCACAATGAATGTAAAGGTTATTGCCGTAAACAAGAGTCAGGGACACAGGAAGCGGATTTCGTAGTCTTTGCACAATTGTCCATTTGGTTGATCTCTGTTCACGCAGACCAGCCCGCCAGAGGGCGTGCACTTGGCTCTGATCTTCTGGCCCGCCGTATACCACCGCTGCTTGGTTGCTTTGACGCGGCATTGGATATCAATTGGTTCACGACCGGAGCACTAAAATAAAATCAGCAATATTCGTCACAGCGGATTAAAAAGGGTATCATTATATGTCGCAGTGGGCTAGATAAGAAAAAAAAAACCAGCGTTGGTATTGCCTCCATTCACTAACCAAAGAGACGACCAATACTGGATTCATAGATTAAATCCCTTTTGCAATAAATTTAAACGAAATTAGATAAGTGCTTAGCCTCGCCAAATATGCAACTTAACTGTATTCAACTTAACTGGTCGACGAATATGTGGCAAAAATGTAATGTAAAGAAATAAGGGTCGAGGTTATATTGTAAAAATACATACACTACATACTTAAGACTGGAAAAGCACTCCGCCAGGGCAGCGATTTTCGATTATTATTGATTATTAATTGATTATTGATCCGGATCACCACCAAAAATTAACCATCTCTACCTTGGCCGCCTTCTGACAGTTCCTGAAAATTTCATCAAAATCGGTCCACAACTTTTTGAGTTATGTTGATGACAGACGAACAAACAGACAAACAGGGATGAAAACATAACCTCCTTGGCGGAGGTAATTAAGTCTCGGTACATGTATATGGCACCAGTACGTACCGGATTATGTCCTCGTTTCCCCACGTATTCAAAGTCTCCACTACCGCTGGGATTGTCTCTGTCCCTCCAGGACGTCCACTTGGCGCACCGGCTACAGTTACTGTTACCTGCAGCAGTAGAGGCATTTCAATATATACTTAACTTCACAATATAATATATATAAACATATGCAAGGCAAATTAAGCATTTTCCAATCCTACTTCTAACAGATATTGCAAATTAAAGGGACAATAACACTTCGTATGAGATCTTTATTTCACAATAAAAACATTGTGAACAACTCATAGAAATATAATATATTCTGTTTTACCACTAAAACGGCAGTTATAGCTATTATTCTGATATCTGAGCTTGTCTTTAGACCACGTGACCTCCAGTGATGGCTATACTCTGTTAAAATCTCTTAAGATATTATAACAAAAAAAAAACTATTTAGAAAAAAAAAAGAAAAACAGGGACTAACTTTGAATGTAAAAATGGATTCATTAACCATTGGTAAGTATGGGAAAATTGTTGTTTACTCCAGGAAAATTCATTTTTTGACCAAAACGAAGAGTTATTATCCCTTTAAGAACAGCCATGACAATTTTACACTTTCTTTGACTAATATGCATTACTTTTATACTGTTAACAAGATTTACTTAGGTTTACATTCCTGGTACGTTTCACACGCAAAATTTATCAAATAAATATAAAATTTGTCAAAGGAACATGCACGGTTCCCTGATAGAATTGCGTATTATTTTCCTAATTTGTTCGTACAGAGACATACCGTAAACGGACGTAACTCCTTAGTAACTCTGGAACAACTGATGCCGAGTCAGACTATCACTGTTTAATGTCTGATTCCCTGAATCTGCCCAACCACCACTCACCTATCGTAGGGCACTTGAACCTGACCTCGTAGTCCTTGCAGATCTTCTTGTTGACAGATGTAGTGCAGACCAACCCATTCTCCCAGTTGCAGTCGTGGAAAGTGTTGTACCTGTCACCTGTTTTATAATAAGGGTAGCGGGAGCGTTTAGCGCGACATTGGGCGCACATTGTACGACGACCACCGCAAAGGTTATTTTTGGTAAACCTCTGGAAAATCAAAGGAGAAAACAATGCTAAAATGTGTACAAACTGTATTTAAGTCAAGAATGTCCATGCTTAGTTATAACTGGCATCGAAAAAACTCAGTCCTCTAATGGTATTTTTTTTTCTTGTCTTATTAATGATCGACAGTATAAATGTAGCCTTTAATAATTTGTTTTAAAACCTTGCATTCGTTTCATTAACAAATACATGTACCTTAATACAACCGCTATTCATTTAAAGATATACAATCAATAGTTAAAGGAAAGACCAACGGTATGAATATTACGTAATAACCTCGTGGGGACGCTTACCCGAAAGGCGCGTGTGCTCTCCCAGTCACCCGTACCACTAGGGTCATCTCTGTCCAGGAAGGATGTCCAAGACCCACCTGTAAACAAATGGAGTGACCATTAAAATGCAAACATTGACAAACAAATGGAAATAAAATTAAATTCGAGGAATAAAGTGTGCAGTTTCACTTCAGCAAAGAAAAGATAAGTCCACCAGTAAATTAGAAATTATCTTAACCGGACCATTGAAAGACAACGTTCAAATTAAGGGTACGAATTTACCCTTTCTAGTCCACTGTGCGGACCAACCACGTGCATCATTTGATTTACAGCGGCACGAATCAATCACTGGACAGCTTATGCAGTCTCACCCAGTGAAAACGCGCACAACTAACACAATGGATATAAAGGCGTTCGATAATTTTGTTACAAAAAGCTTTATATCTTAAATTAATCCAAAGCTTTAAAGTTTTTTACGGACGATAGATTGGTAGTAGTCTGTTAAATGAAACAATTCAACCAGATTTTTGACCCACAGAGCTCTGAGTACTTACTTGTAGTGGGGCACAAGTATCTTATCTCATAGTCTTTGCAGGATCCCCCGCCCTGCTGGGAGTTAACGCACACCAGTCCTTTGGTAGGTGAACAGTGAATCACCAACTTATTGGGAGCCGTGCCAGACCAGCGCGTAAACACATTAGTTGTCCCCTTTACGCGACACTGTGCTGCAATAGGTTTACATCCGCCACACACGTAACCTCGTTTCTAACAAAAAAAATCAAATTTGTTTTTGTTAACCTCTCATTTTCATTAAGACATTTTCGTGCTTATATCTCTTGTACAATATTTAAAACCATCATCTTATGTTCGTATTTTGTACCATGTATTAGCTACTAACTCTTTAAATAAACCTCATGGCAGTTGTCTCTTACCTTCTGCGCATGCAAGTTTTCATAATCTCCAAGGCCTGAAGGGTTATCCCGGTCGTACCAAGGGCTCCAAAAATGACCTGGAAGTGATGTCGAACACGAGATGAAATGTGACTTGTAGTCTATATTTAAATGAAAATCAAGAGTACAATCCTTTTAAAAATGTAGACAACTGGAATCTTTGGTGTCAACATCAGCAAGCCTTTTTCGATTTCAAATATGCACTGGGAGAAAAAAATACAAGACTGATATCTTTATTACTTAAATTCTTTAATATCTGAATTAGTCATTGTCTCTTACTGCGCCAGATCCTTCTCAAATATTTACTGTGTAATGTAACTTTGCAAATATGCACTGGGAGAAAAAAATACAAGGCTTATGTCTTTATTACTTAAATTTTTGAATATCTTAAAAGAGCTGTTTATCTTACCCTGAACTGATGACAGTGCCAGGGCACAAGACAGAGCGAGCAATACTAACTTCATGTTGAACCTAGTGTAAAATGGAAAAATTCAACAATCATTTTTCAGTGTGTGATATCTAATATGTAAAAAGGCATATAAAGATATTAATAAAAAAAA